GGAGGGAGGGGGGGGGGGGGTGAACAAAGGCAACTTGTCGCGAATTTATGTGTTTTTGTAAGAAAAATATCCATATTCAAAATGTAATAATCACTTTAATCTAGCTTGCGCCACCAGTTGTACACGGAAGCAGCTCCGGGAGGATGACACAAGATGTCGGTGTTGCGCATGCGCCGGTGAGTCTCGTGAAAACCAACGTTTGTTTACAGGAGCAAAGGAAGCAAAGTTTCCATACTTTAGCAAAGGAAAACCAGTCTCCTCTTGGCTTATATCGAAATCCTCTGACATTCTTCTTTACAAATCCTCGTTTTGCACTTCTAATTCGTGACCGTTGTTTTGATCTCTCCCCTGCGCTTCCTCGTTCGTCACTTCTGAGCGGCGCATGCGCAAAGCCGACCTCCATACATCATTTTTTTTTTACAAAAACGCACCGATTCGCTACAGGAGCCCTTTTTTCACCCCCCGCAGCCGTGTAATGCACTTTTTATTATGGATAGATGCGTTTTATTTCACTTCTTTTGGACTGATGAACTGCAACACCTGCTGACTGCCATTAAACATCTTGGAAGATCAAAGACAATTTTTAATATAACTCCAATTGGATTCATCTGAAAGAAGAAAGTCATATACACCTAGGATGCCTTGAGGGTGAGTAATTCATAGGCTAATTTTGATTTTTGGGTGAACTAACCCTTTAATTAATCCTTTGTAATATATGTTGAGTTTTCTCTCATTAAATCTTACGATTTCCTATTAATTCAACAGAACATATGGGAATACTAGAGAAAACCATCATGGAGGTGCAGTGCCTTCACTTTTATGAAGTCATGAGTAATCCAGTTTTCTATTATGGATCAGTGGTGTCAACATATTGTTTGTCTGTACAATCTAATGCCTTAAATCCAAATTTATAAATTAAAAAAAGAAGCTTTACAATTTTGTATATGTTTACAATTCCAAACTGCATTTCCAAAAATACTTTGTCTATATTATGTTTATATTTAAACTAAAACATTGCCTCAAGTACCTTGTTTCTACATAATAAAAATTTAGGACACACATTTTTATTATCTTTTTAAGCAAACACTTTAAATGACATCCTTCCCCCGTAAGATATACATGACACAACAAAATGTTGCAATTCAAGAAAAATTACTATCACTTGAGTGCTGAGCAACAATATGATAAACAGGTGTTTTTCACACTATAGCTATTACTATATAGTGGATTTCAGCATTACTGAACACTGTACTGAGCAATAAGATGCCAAGACTAGAACTACCCATGTAAAAAAAGAGAGAGTATACACAGATCTGAAAACAGAATGTACCTGTACATGTGTTATTGATGCTGATGGTGAGACTTGAGTTTGTTGCAGTGAATCCATCCAGACATGAGCAATTGTAACTTCCCATTTCATTTGTGCAGTTGGCATTTGGACCACATACAGATGGACTGAACAAACATTCATCTATATCTACGAAAAAAAATATTTGAAAAAGTAATTACTTAAAGTTATGAAATGTCCACGGAGTACATAAATTAAGTTGAAATGTCAACATTTACAATAACAGTAATAATAATAATAATCTGGATCCTGAAATGTTATATTTGTAATGAGAATCTTTAAAAATCACCAAAGTAATGATTAATGACTAAATTATGCAATAACCAAAAGCTGTAATGCAGAATATTTTATAAATAAAAACTGACCAGTGCATGGGTTGCCTTCACTAATAGCTTTATTTCCATCTGAGACATTATATCCTCCCCAACAAAAGCATGAGAAGCTTCCGTTGTAATTGTAACAGTGAGAGTTCGGGCCACACACTGATTCTGAGTCAAGACATTCATGAATATCTGAAATAAAATGTAATTTAATAAATTGAAAGATTACAGTTGAAGGGTGATTCACGCAGAACAAATAGTAACAAACTGTTCATTGCTTCATACCTTTGCATGTGTTATTGCTGTTTATAGGGAGGTTTGGGTCTGTTACATTATATCCATTCATGCATGAACAATTGTAACTCCCAATAGTGTTGTTGCAGATTGAGTTTGGACCACAGATGTCTGATATCTCAGCACATTCATTCACATCTATATTAAAAGGAAGTTATGGGAAAAGAACAGTTTTGGTCACTCATACGTACTGTATGTGAAGGTCAACTCATACTTTGACATCTTTACAATAGAATGCTTCATTTACAATATTATGTCTAAAGCAGGAACACTAAAACCTCATAATGCTGGCATTAAACACATAATTGTAATTTAGTTTAATAAAACTGATTGGACTAATGTTGCATAAAAACATCTAGTTTTTAATGTAATGTTAAAGTACATAGAGATCTGCACATACAGTACCTTTGCATGTGTTATTGATGCTGATGGGGAGACTTGAGTTTGTTGCAGTGAATCCACCCAGACACGAGCAATTATAAATTCCAATTTCATTTGTACAGTTGGCATTTGGACCACATACAGATAGACTGAACAGACATTCATCTACATCTATGAAAAAAATATATCAACGTCATCATTTAAAAACAATTTTCATTTACACAAACACCTAAACACATGAAAGACATTTGTTATCTCATGGCAGTCATCTGTCTATAAAAAGGAGAATATAAATCATGAAGGAAGGAATAATGTATGTCTAAATAATTTTATAAGAATTAAAAATAATTAAGCACGATTATATATAAATAAAAATAATGATTATTAACATTGATAAAGACATATTTTAAATTACACAACAATCTAAAGATGACATAATTTTGAGCAGTTTCCAATAAATAATACCTGAAAATCATAACAGTAAATATAACATACAGCAAACTTACCGATGCATGGATTACTTTTGGAAATATCTTTATTTCCATCTGAGACGTTATATCCTTCCCAACAAAAGCATGAGAAGCTTCCGTTGTAATTGTAACAGTGAGAGTTTAGTCCACACACTGATACTGAGTCAAGACATTCATGAATATCTGAAATTAAAAAAATTATATATATATATATATATATATATACAGTGGGTACGGAAAGTATTCAGACCCCCTTAAATTTTTCACTCTTTGTTATATTGCAGCCATTTGCTAAAATCATTTAAGTTCATTTTTTTTCCTCATTAATGTACACACAGCACCCCATATTGACAGAAAAACACAGAATTGTTGACATTTTTGCAGATTTATTAAAAAAGAAAAACTGAAATATCACATGGTCCTAAGTATTCAGACCCTTTGCTCAGTATTTAGTAGAAGCAACCTTTTGATCTAATACAGCCATGAGTCTTTTTGGGAAAGATGCAACAAGTTTTGCACACCTGGATTTGGGGATCCTCTGCCATTCCTCCAAGTTGCAGATCCTCTCCAGTTCTGTCAGGTTGGATGGTAAACATTGGTGGACAGCCATTTTTAGGTCTCTCCAGAGATGCTCAATTGGGTTTAAGTCAGGGCTCTGGCTGGGCCATTCAAGATATATATATATATATATAAAGGGACAGGTTACAGTTGACAGAAAATTTTGTCAGAATAAACAGTTACTGTTCATTGTTTCAACTGTCAATCATACCTTTGCATGTGTTATTGCTATTTATAGGGAGGTTTGTGTCTGTTACATTATATCCACTCATGCACGAGCAATTGTGACTCCCAACAGTGTTGTTGCAGATTGAGTTTGGACCACAGATGTCTGATATCTCAACACATTCATTCACATCTATATTAAAAGGAAGTTATGGGGAAAAGAAGAGTTTGGATCACTCATACATATTAATTTTTAGACTTTTTTGACGTTTAAAAAAAAACACATGGAATAAAAATCACATCAATAAACTTAGGCCAATTATTCAAGGTAATAGTAAACACAAAACTAAATATAAAATGTACCTCTACATGTGTTATTGATGCTGATGAGGAGACTTGAGTTTGTTGCAGTGAATCCATCCAGACATGAGCAATTATAACTTCCAATTTCATTTGTGCAGTTGGAATCTGGACCACATACAGATGGGCTGAACAGACATTCATCTATATCTAGAGGGGGAAAATATTTTTTAAATGTTTTCATACATACAAATATAAATACCTAAAAACATTAAATACAAATGGTATGTCATTAATCTACATCTCTACAAAGAGAATAAGGATTGTGAAAGTACAGTATCAACATTTTTAAACACAAAAGACCAGGATTTTTTTTTTAAAACCATTCTCCCAAAGAAAAACTGTATTTCAGGTTTAAATTCACAAGTTCAAATTGTACTAGTACCTGTACATGTGTTATTGATGCTGATGGGGAGACTTGAGTTAGTTGCAGTGAATCCATCCAGACATGAGCAATTGTAACTTCCGATTCCATTTGTGCAGTTGGAATCTAGACCACATACAGATGGACTGAACAGACACTCATCTATATCTATGAGGAAAAATATTATTTAAAAATAAGTTTCATTTCACACAATTACAGTTACAAACAGAGCATAAGACACCTTAGAGTTAATTGTAACAGAGGTTGGACTACACACTGACAGTGAGTCTTAAATAAAGTGAAAGGTTAAGATTCAGGCAGTACAAACAGTAGCAAACTGTTCAGAGCTTCAGCTGTCAATCATACCTTTGCATGTGTTATTGCTGTTAACATGGAGGTTTGGGTCTGTTACATTATATCCACTCATGCACAAGCAATTGTAACTCCCAACAGTGTTGTTGCAGATTGAGTTTGGACCACAGATGTCTGATATCTCAACACATTCATCCACATCTATATTAAAAGAAAAGGGAAGAGTTTGGGTCACTCATATGTAAGTGAAGATCAACCATTTTTTTTTTACATTTTAAAAATAGAAAGAAAGAAAAAAACACGGAGTAAAAATCACATCAATAAACTTTAGCCAACTATTCAAGGTTACAGGGAAAAGAACAGTTTGGGTCACTCATACATATGTGAAGGCCAACTCATTCTTTGGCCTCTTTACAACAGAATGCTTCATTTACAAAAATGAGATCCAAAGTAAAAAAAACACATTGATAATTGCCATCTAATTATTCAAGGTAAAAGTAAACACAAATCTTAACAAATTTGGAGACAAATTTGATGTTTAACCTACAAATATAAACACCTAAAACAAGAAATACATCCAATAGGGTCTGGCTGCAGACATGCACTTGCATTTTCAGACTTGCACTCTCAGACTTGCACTCTCAGACACCTGCACTTCCGCGAGTGACGTCACTTGCAGTCTTTTTTTATTTAATTTAATTGATGAATTCTTTTTTTTATTGAATCTCTCAACATTTTACACAAGTAGCCAGGTGGTGAAGACAAGAAAAAAAGAAACTAAATCACGAAGTCACTTGCAATAGCCACTTGCACTCTCAGCTACTTGCAATCCACAAGAATCGTGCGTGTTGCCAATGGAGACGAGACGCTGTGGTGGTTAAATGATTAAAACTAATTAGTACTATAACATACAGGGTCCTGCAAGTCATCTGTAGGAGAAAAAGACAAGACCCGCAAATCCGTGGCCACAGAACAGCAGAATATGAATGCAATGCGCAAAGTCTCTCATTAAGCGCTTTTAATGCAAGTGCATGTCTGCAGCCAGACCCTTCTCCAATACATCTGGTATCTCTTCTCATTCATCTATATCTATACAGAGAGTAAGAACTGAGAATGTGCAATATCAACATCATTAAACACTAAAGAAAAAATAAGATTTTGAAACAATTTTCCTGAAGAAAAACAGGTCTATTTTAGACTTAAATTTGCAAGTCCAAACTGCACATCAAAATCATACTCATTTGTACACATTAGTACAGCTCACAACAGTTTTATGTTTGTATAACATTTTCTTAAAGAAAACAACTTAAAATTAAACAAGAGTTTTAGCGGATGTACATAAAAAAATAAAAAAAACTTCCATAGCTTCTCCATGATAAAAACACATGCACTGAGACAAAACAACAACAACAATAATAATAATTCATGAGGAAATGTGGGAAACTCTGAAACTTCTTGAACCTTTACTCAACAGACCAAAATACGGAAATATTTACAGCTTTGAGAAACATCTCAGATTTTGTTGTATTTGGGAAAAAAAAACAACAACACATGATAAGCCTCTCTCATTAGTCCTTTGACATGATTTTGTACTATAAATACTAGTTGTCAATCCTACCTTTGCATGTGTTATTGCTGTTTATAGGGAGGTTTGTTACATTATATCCAATCATGCACGAGCAATTGTAACTCCCAACAGTGTTGTTGCAGATTGAGTTTGGACCACAGATGTCTGATATCTCAACACATTCATTCACATCTATAATTTTAAAAAAGTTACAGGAAAATAAGTTTGGGTCACTCATACATACTGTATGTAAAGGTCAACTCAATCTTTGACATCTTTTCAACAGAATGCTTACAAAAATTAAATGGAAAGTAAAAATCAATTGAAAAACTGTAGCTAATTATTCAAAGTTAGAGTAAACACAAATCTAAATATAAAATGTACCTCTACATGAGTTATTGATGCTGATGGGGAGACTTGAGTTTGTTACAGTGAATCCATCCAGACATGAGCAATTGTAACTTCCAATTTCATTTGTGCAGTTGGAATCTGGACCACATACAGATGGACTGAACAGACATTCATCTACATCTATGGAAAAAGTAAAATACTAAAATAAGGGATTATTTAAATAAAAAAGTAATTTCATTTCATTACAATTATAACAGCACAAATAGCTTCCATTTTCATTGTAACAGTGAGAGTTCGGCCAATACACTGATGGTGAATCAAGACACTTATAAATATTTGAAATAAAATAATTCATAACTTCAAAGGTTACAGTTGAAGGAAGTACAAATAGTAACAAACTGTTCATTGCTTCAACTGTCAATCATACCTTTGCATGTGTTATTGCTGTTTATAGGGAGGTTTGGATCTGTTACATTATATCCACTCATGCACGAGCAATTGTGACTCCCAACAGTGTTGTTGCAGATTGAGTTTGGACCACAGATGTCTGATATCTCAACACATTCATTCACATCTATATTAAAAGAAAGTTATGGGAAAAATAACAGTTTGGGTCACTTATACATAAACGACAGTCAACTCAATCTTTGATATCTTTACAAAAGAACGGCTTGTTTACAATATTTATATCCCCCCCCAAAAAACAGATAAATTCTAGCTAATCATTCAAGGTTATAAAGTTAGAGTAAACACACATCCAAATATAAAATGTGCCTCTACATGTGTTATTGATGCTGATGGTGAGACTTGAGTTTGTTGCAGTGAATCCATTCAGACATGAACAATTGTAACTTCCCATTTCATTTGTGCAGTTGGAATCTGGACCACATACAGATGGACTGAACAGACATTCATCTACATCTATGGAAAAAGTAAAATACTAAAATAAGGGATTATTTAAATAAAAAAGTAATTTCATTTCATTACAATTATAACAGCACAAATAGCTTCCATTTTCATTGTAACAGTGAGAGTTCGGCCAATACACTGATGGTGAATCAAGACACTTATAAATATTTGAAATAAAATAATTCATAACTTCAAAGGTTACAGTTGAAGGAAGTACAAATAGTAACAAACTGTTCATTGCTTCAACTGTCAATCATACCTTTGCATGTGTTATTGCTGTTTATAGGGAGGTTTGGATCTGTTACATTATATCCACTCATGCACGAGCAATTGTGACTCCCAACAGTGTTGTTGCAGATTGAGTTTGGACCACAGATGTCTGATATCTCAACACATTCATTCACATCTATATTAAAAGAAAGTTATGGGAAAAATAACAGTTTGGGTCACTTATACATAAACGACAGTCAACTCAATCTTTGATATCTTTACAAAAGAACGGCTTGTTTACAATATTTATATCCCCCCCCAAAAAACAGATAAATTCTAGCTAATCATTCAAGGTTATAAAGTTAGAGTAAACACACATCCAAATATAAAATGTGCCTCTACATGTGTTATTGATGCTGATGGTGAGACTTGAGTTTGTTGCAGTGAATCCATTCAGACATGAACAATTGTAACTTCCCATTTCATTTGTGCAGTTGGAATCTGGACCACATACAGATGGACTGAACAGACATTCATCTACATCTATGGAAAAAGTAAAATACTAAAATAAGGGATTATTTAAATAAAAAAGTAATTTCAGTGGGGGGAATCACGAATATAAACACCTAAAACATGAAAGTTAAATGGTATCTCACAACATTCATTCTACATCTATACAAGGAGAATAAGGATTGAGAAAAAACTATATCAAACACACACACACACACACACACCAGAAAAAGCATTATTTTGAAACTGTTCACACAAAGAAAAATGTGTCTATAAAAACTGTAGTTTAGAAGATTTTGAGAAAGATCTGGTTTAGGTCAATCTCCCTCCTGAGTGTGGAATGCAAAGTTTTCTTCTCAGTGCTTGCGAGAAGGTTGACCACCTACACGATGCAGAATAACGTCTTGGTTACGTATTGTAACCCTCATTCCCTGAAGGGACGTGACGAAGAGAGACCAATCTACCTCGATGGTAAACTAAATGAGCCAATGCACACTGGCATGCGATAATTGCATCCAGTTGCCGCTGATCACAGCGTGAGTATAAGTAGGCAGCCGGTGCAGCGCATATTCAGGTTTTTGCTGAGGAGCCGAGCCGGTGACCCGGCCGCTCAGCAGTAGTACAGAAGCTGTGGCGACGAGACGTGACATCTCTGTTCCCTCCTTCAGGGAACGAGGGTTACAATACTACCGAGACATTCCCTTTCAGTCGGTCACTCTCGACGTCACGTCGGATGACCAACGAATTGGGATCCCTACCAAAGAGCCACAGGTACTGCCCCTTCCAGTGTCCCGTGGAAGCCCCCTGCGCCCCTACTTTTTGGCATAGGCCAGGGCTTACCACAAGAAGACCAGCTACTGTTGCTATGGCACTTCCCACTCAGTAAGACTGGATAACACTGGAAAAACGTATCCGGATCACTTGGTACAGGAATGTTGCGGAAGCCTCATCCTTCCCGAAGGTGGTTTCGGAAGCAGTGAGGGCCTGTTGCTGGACGCTCCACCATGTCTGGCTGCCGAGGGGTCGGAGGAGCTCGACAGGGTCTACGATATGGACTCTCTGGAGCATTTTTAGCAAGCCGACCCGAAGTCGGGGCCTCTCAGTGCTTCTACCTGTTTGAGGTGAGAACACAGGAGGATACCGGCTCCACACGAAGGCTATAGAATCTAGCGAACGTGTTGGGGGTCGCCCAGCCCGCAGCTCTACAAATATCTGCCAGCGAGGCACCACGAGCCAGCGCCCAGGAGGATGCACACTTCTAGTAGAGTGAGCTCGCAACCTGAACGGGCAGGGCACACCCTGTGCCTGATAAGCCAGGGTGATGGCATCCACAATCCAGTGGGCTATCCTCTGCTTAGAGACGGCATTCCCTTCTGTCGGCCTCCGTGACAGACAAAGAGCTGGTCTGAGGTCCTGAAGCTTTGTGTCCTGTCTACGTAGCATCTCAATGCCCGGACGGGACAAAGCAAAGCTAGGGCTGGGTCTGCCTCCTCTGGGGCCAGCGCTTGCAGGCTCACCACCAGATCCCTGAAGGGAGTAGTGGGAACCTTGGGCACATAGCCGGGCTGGGGCCTCAGGATTACCTGGGAGTCAGCCGGCCGAATTCTTCCCGGAAGTGCTTTGTGTTTGTGTTTGCTTATTTTATTAAAGTTTCTTGGAATGTTCGCCGGTCCCCGCCTCCTTCTTCCCGAGCCCTACCCTCACGGGTAGGGAAAAGGCTTTTTTAGGGAAAAACGCCTCAGGTTACGTATGTAACCCTAGTTCCTCGAGGGAACGAGACTAGGCAGGCTCCGGCGTGGAGGTGGTGGCTTAGTACGCAAAAAACGCTCATCTAATTTACTTGTTTGTGGTTCAGCCATTTTCTCGGCGGGCCATTCGAGTAGTGCAGCCTGATGTGTGCATCCCACTCGACACGGGAAACCACCACCGCTGAAGTGCCGTACTGCCAACATGAAGAAAGCTCTTTGTGCTGGCAGTACGGCGCTTCAGCGCGCTGAACTTGTTCAGTCTTCTTCTCTCAGTAGAGTAGTCAGGAGCAGAACGATGTGATCGCTCGGCTCCGAAGCGAAAAGCTGAATATGCGCTGCACCGGCTGCCTACTTATTTTCACGCTGTGATCAGCGGCAGCTGGATGCAATAATCGCATAACAATAATATGCATTGGCTCGTTTAGTTTACACTCGAAGTAGATTGGTCTCTCTAAGTGAGATCCCAATTCGTCGGTCATCCGACGTGACAACGAGAGTGACCGACTGAAAGGGAACTACATTAATACTTCCATTCAGAAAGGTGGAATCCCAGGCTTTTCAGGCTGTCTGGAACACACATCAATACTCAGCCAGTTGATCCGTTAGGCCAAGCAGAAGAAAGGCGATCTAACAGTGGTCTGGTTGGATCTAGCGAATGCTTATGGATCTATTCCGCATGACCTCATCCAGCTTGGACTTGACCATTACCATATCCCAGCTGCTATTCAAGAACTGATCACCAGATATCTAAGGGGGATCAAATTGAGGTTTTCATCAGCCCATTGGACAACTAACTGACATGATCTCTAGAAGGGAATCCCAACAGGATATACCATCTACCCTACCCTCTTTATCATGGCCATGAACCTTCTAATAACAGCAGCAGAAGGCACAACCTGTGGCCCCGTCCTGGTGTCAGGTGTTATCCAGCCAGTCAGGGGCGGATTTAGTGATTTGGGGGCCCCAGGCAAAATACAGGAATGGGGCCCTATACAATTTCATACATTTACAACCTTGAGGTTCCTTTCACTGTTGCTCCCTGCTGCACAACCGTGTCCCATAGTTGTGTCTAATCTTTTAGATTTTTCATGTACATGTTATAAATAAAGGATTTCTTTAATGTTGTAAATCCCTTGTTCACATTTATACAAGGTTATAATAGTATTAGAGTAGGTTGGACACTAGGTGGTGCGTTGGGGTAATTTTCAATATGCAATTGTCTACACAACGCATTAAACGGCTGTCTAATTCTAAACTTTAAAATATACATTTATTTTTATTTATTTTAATTGCACATTTAAATTAAACTGAAGGAAATTATAAATGTACATGC